TTAGCAAAGACTGGAGTTAGAAGCTGGATGGGGCTCAAACGTACTTCTTTCAGCACTCATCACTCCATATGGAAATATTCCCGCACATTGGGATGGGTTCACCCTCTCTGGAAGCTGACAAGGAAAGGATTCATTCTCTAGCCAGATGGCAACAAGATCATAGACACTTTGGTACAGGACATTTGAGGAAATATGCCACAGCAAATTCAGGAGAATATTCTGTATATTCAGATTTCTTGTGGTTATGGTGAGCAGATGAGTGTTGAGTTTCTGTAAGTGCTAGGTGTCCCGAGGTCACAGGAGGTGTATGACATTATAATGTCAGGGTTTTTCAGGAAGGCAGTGTATCAGAGAGTCCTGTTGACTGCCAGCAGCCACAGCAGACCTTCTGGGGAAGCAGGGAAAAGAGAGCTGAAGGGAACAGAAGTGATATCTTAGCTGTTTATCAGAATACCAGCCATCTGCTTTCTGGTTGATTTGAGCATTAGCTGGTTTGGGCTTGGTTTGTTTTTGTTTTTTTTTTTTCCCTAAGTCCTTTCAAGAAACAGACATTTTTCTTATGACTCAAAGATCACTTTGATTATCTTGAATGTGCCCTTAAAGGCGTCTTGTTACATTGGAGGTGACAAAAGGAAAACTAGGGGGAGAAAAAGATTTAATTAAAAATTATACTTTGCTTAATTTTTTTACAGGTAATGTCAGCTCTTTTTAGATTTTAGGCAGTAAGGTCAAATTAAAGTTTTCCATTGCCTTTGAAGAATTTTAGATTGTGTTCTCAAACCTTGGCTATACTTCACAGAAGTTTACCGCTTTCATTTTAAATGAACAATTAAATTAGGAAAATCTTATCGGATGGAGTCTGTTTTAGTTTAAAACCATTACCCCTTACTCTATTGCAGCATACCCTGCTAAAAAGTTTGTTCCCGTCTTTCTTACAGGCCTGCTTTAAATATTGAAAGGCCACAATAAGGTATCCCTGGAGCCTTCTCTTCTGCAGGCTGAGCAAAGCCAACATACCTTTCCAGTTTACAGAGAAGGATGTTGTAGAGTACTGTATCAAAGGCCATACAGGACTCCAGATAGGTGACATCTGTAGCCCTTCCCTTGTCCACTCATGGAGTTGCTCCACCATGGAAAGCCACCACTTCAGTCATGCAGGACTTGTCCTTGGTGAAACCGCGCTGGCTGTCCTGAATCACCTCCCTGTCCTCCATGTGCTTTAGCGTAGCTTCTACAGGGATCTGTTCTAAGATCTTCCCAGGCACAGAGGTGAGGCTGACAGGTCAGTAGTTCCCAGGGTCTGCATTCTCCCCTTTTTAAAAATGGATGCAATGCTTCCCTTCTTCCAGTCACCAAGAACTTCATGTGATTGCCATGGAGAGTATCATGGAGAGTGATTTGGCAAATACATCAGTCAATTCCCTCAAGATTCTGGAATACATCGCATCAGCTCCCATAGACTTATTTATTTTCAAATTCCTCGGGTATTCACAAATGTAATCTTCTCTCTTTTTTTTACTGAGTTTGCTGAGTTACTGTTCCACACCTACCAGTAGAACACAAGCAAAAGACACTATGTAATTATATAACTGAGTAGGGAAACGGAGGGAGGTGTTTGCTTTTTTGTAAGATACAGTGCTCTACCACGTACCTACTCAACGTACATCTGGACTGCAGTCTGTGATGTGGTAGCATATTTCCTAACATAGTTAAGCATATTTTCCTAACATAGTTAAGCATCTTTACCAGGTTCTGCCGGCACTCAGGAAATCTCATGCTCGCATATGAAGGCTTTTGCAAGACAACACCCTGATATTAAAGAAAACTTGACAAAGAGCATGGGAAGATGCCAAGGCACTCAATGCCTCCTTCACTACAGTCTTTATTGTCAAGAATGGTTTTCAGGAATCCCATGCCACTGAGACGCGTGAAAAAGTCCAGACCAATAACAACTCAGTGGAGAAGAATTAGGCTACAGAGCATTTAGGCAAACTGGACACAGATGAGTCCACATGAACACATAGGACACACCCACAAGTAGAGCGTGGTGCTAATAACATGAGGGTTGTGGGTTTGATTTCCATATGGATCATTCACTTAAGAGTTGGACTTAGTGATCCTTGTGGGTCCCTTCCAACTCAGAATATTCTGTGAAAGTGCTGTGAAAGCTGGGTGGTTGCATTCTTAATTATCTTTGAAAGGTCATGGCAACTGGAGGAGGTTAGTCATTATGTGTTAAAAAAATGTCACGCCTATGTCTAAGAGAGATAAGGAGGAGAATACAGGAGCTACAGGCTGGCCAGCCTTACCTCAAAGCCTGGAGCAAATCTCTTGAAGCCATTTCCAGATGGCTTCAAGATGACTGGTGGTAGTCAACATGGATTTATGAAGGGCAAATCATTCCTTACAGTGCTAATTGCCTTCCATGAGGACTTGAAAGGCTTGATGAATAAGGGGAGAGCAGTGTGTATCTCAGCTTTAGCAAGGCTTTTGAACTGTCTCTCACAACTTGGAACAGACTAGGTAAATGGGCATGGAAAACTGACTGAATTGCCATGCTTAAAGGCATGAACAGCAGCACAAAGTCCAGCTGGAGGCCAGTCACTACTGGTGTGCTATGGACATTGATACTAGGTCAATACTGTTTAACATCCTCATTAATTACCTGGATGATGGGACACGGTGCACCCTCAACAAATTCACAAGAGATGTAAGACTGGGAGGAATGATTAATCTCTTAGAGACTTGTGCTGCCATTCAGAGGGACCTGGATAGGCCGTGCAAATGGGCCAACATGACCTCAGCGTGTTCAGCAAAGGGAAATGCAGTCTTGCACCTTGGAAGGAACAGTCTGGGGGATGACCAGCTGGAATGCAGCTTTGCAGAAAAGGCCATGGGGGTCCTGGTTTGCACAAAGTTGAACATGAACCAGCAATGTGCCCTTGCAGCAAGGGCAGCCAATCACCTCTTGGGCTCCATTAGGCAGAGCATTGCCAGCAGGTTGAGGGAAGGGGTCCTTCACTCTGCTTAGAACTGGTGAGACACACCTGGAATGCTAAGTCCCCAGTGTAAGAGAGACATGAACTTACTGATATGGGCCCAGCAAAATGTCAGGAAGGTAATTAAAAGACCAGAGGACCTGTCATACAAGAAGAAGCTGAGATTGCTGAGGCCGAGGGAGAAGAAGGTTCTGGGGGATCTCATCCATGTGTATGAATAACTGATGGGGTGTAAGTAAAGAAGATGGAGCCAGATTCATCTCAGTGGTACCTAGTTACAGGAGAAGAGGCAGTGGGCACAAGCTGAAACACATGAAATTCCATGTAAACACGAGAGAAACCTTTTACTGTGAGGGCGACTAGGCTCAGGTTGCCTAGAGAAGCTGTGGAATCTCCATCTCTGGATATATTCAAAGTCTGATGTGGCATGGTCCTGAGCAACCTGCTCTAGCTGATCCTGCCTTGGGACTAAATGGACTAGGGGAACTAGGTGATCTCCAGATGTTCCTTCCGATTACAATGATTCAGTGATTCAGTTTGTCTGGATGAAGAGAAATATGTTGGTAAAGGTGCCCAGCCAGTAGAAATATCACCAATTAAAAGGAATAAAAAGGATAATATGGAGGGAGAATAGCAGACTATTTGGTTTGTTTTGGCTTGGTGTTGAAAGTGGACATACATTTACAATATAAAAAAGAAAGTATTATAAAAACAATTCTTGTAAAAAACTGAGTAGAACAACACACTTCATTGGAAATTAACAGCCTCAAAACATATTACTGTTGGAATTTTGATTCCTAAAACCAACATGATTGTTTCTTTGCAGGTGGGTGGCCTAGCACTCAGGAAGCTGACAATGTACTGGGTTTGAGTGGGCTCATTACTTTATCTTTCCATTTTTCAAAAAAGAAAGTAGTACTGTTTCCATCTTATCTAAATCAATTTCAGATCTAAATATGAAACTAAATGTGGGTATTTATATTCTCTGCACTGACTTTTTTTTATTTATATGGAAAATTATGTGATTAAAAGCCATAATGGGGAAAAGAAAGAAGAAAGTACTGGTACTCAATGCTTGTACCACCTTTTTTGTCACTGAAATTCAGGCATTTAGCATTAATCCTTGTTGATTCAGTTGAGAACCCCTGTTTATTTCATCACGCCTAAAAAATCAAGGAGGTTAATAGACAACTATTTAAATATTAAGTCCCCATTCATTCTGCTACACATCAGTGACTGCTGAATACCAGCGAAGGAGGTGGGAGGGAAGAGAATATAAACAGCTGTTTAATGAAAGCTGTGTCAAGCTGGAATGCATATTGCTAAAATATCTGTTTGTGGCAAGCCAGACATCTCCAGATCAAGTGCACGAAGTGTTGTCTAAGTCGGTTTTCAGTGGACCGGAGTCAAATGTGAAAAGTGGCCCTTGCTGGGAATTTCAGTGGCAAGCCTTTGCCTACAGAGTGGAGTAAATGTGGAGAGATAATCTTTTAATTTTAAGTCCTGGAGGAAGGGAGAAGGGAGAGAGGAGTGGTTGCAGTGCTAAAGTATATTCTGCGCTGGTACTGTGCATAAGAAAAAAGCCCTCACTCAACTCTCTCGTGAATCTCTAAATGCAAGGATGTAGTTCTGTGTATTTATATAACAACTTCCAATGAAACTAGCTAAGTACATCAGTGTTGATAAAGTTTTTCTTTTGATCAAAATTTACATGATCTGTTTGGGAAAACTCACTTTCTACTTGTTTCCAGCCACATCTGTACCAGATTGTACGGAGGCTGAGGGATCTGTACTTTTGTTTCAATGTATATTGCAACATTTTTATTGCATTCCACAGGTCCTCCAGTAAACGTTACTTGCAATATTTTTATCAACAGTTTTGGATCAGTCACAGAAACCACAATGGTAAGTGCTATGATGTCATTGGCAAGAGAACAACAATACTTAATATATGTCATGAACAAAACCTGTCAATTTTTCTATTTATTGTTCAACTTGCAGGTCCTCCTGTAAATGTTACCTGCAACATATTTATCAACAGCTTTGGTTCAATAGCAGAAACTACAATGGTGAGTGGGACTGGTCATTGAAGCCATCTTGTGAAGGAGTGGGATGTGATGTAGAATAGGGATGCTCAGGATGTGGGGACATTGACTAAGTTATTAATCTACTAAAAACCTACAAGCCAAATAATAATAATAATAATAAAATAAAATAACAAAAAATAAATATAGAATAATTATATAAGAGATATATAAATTACTAAACTCGCCTATCAAGTCCAAATGCACCTGTATAGGAACCCCACCATAGTCTGTACTAACTGTGATAGCAGCAAATATAAGTGTTTGCAAACCTGCTTTCTCAGGTTTTATTAGCACTGAAGAGACAGAGGAATGGCTGGAGCTCAGCTGTGGGGCTCCCTGCCAAGTACTCCATGTTCGAGTGTGTTTTACACCACATGCTGAATTATCTGCTGCTGCAGATAACAGTCTTGGTTAACTTAGATAAATCTTTGTGAATTGCAGCCGCATCACTAACTGAAGTGAATGCAAAACATGAATCAAATGGCTATAACATATAGGTGTAAGACTTAGGCATTTTGAGGTTAAATAGGTACTAGGAAATTACGGGATTCCACCTGACTGAAATTTGTATTTTGACTGAATGCAAAGAATACACTCAGTCAAAAAAAAATAAAAAAAAGCCAAAATGAAAATGCCAGTTTTAATTATGATAAATCTAAAAATAAACAGTTCTATTTTTCATTTCAGCATGAGATTTTGATTTTAATTTAGAATTATTAATTTAGGATTAACCAAATCAAGCTAAAAAAATGAAAATTAAAATTTTAGTCCAATTTTTTTTTTTAGTCTAGAAGACTAGCAGTCTATTATCTTTTATCAATATTTGCTAAGAAAAATAAGAACTATTTTTCTGGGTCCATTTAGAAAGATTCTGAGTTTTGAAATCCTCTTTTTCAAAAATGAACAAAAAAGATCAGTTGTTTATTCAAGCCTACATACACCTGACTATGGGGGTTAGTCCAGAGAGATATTTTTGATGGCTTTCTCATCATAATGTAATAAACCCATAATAAATATTAGGTGCTCATATCTATGGGACTTTTGAAGCAATTGCAAAGTAGTTTCACAACTGTTTTCTAGGTATTCCTACGCAGCATCCAGATCTTTCTGAATTTTCTGAAACCAGAGGCAATGAAGATGCTTGGCTTCCTGTAGGACTGATATCCTTGTAACTAAAAATGAACTTGCTACCCACAAAAGGACTTGAAGTAAACCAAAGAACTACTTTTTTATAAAATGGAATAGATACTGCCTTGAAGAACAGATAGTTAGCCCAGTTTAGGTATTTTGTTTCATATTCACTTAGATTCAGTTGTAATTCCTGTCATCATTTTGGAAAGTGGTGACTAAGGAATGTAGAAACATAAAACTTCTGCTCCTAAATAATTTTATTTAAAACCCCATCCTGTTACTTAATATTTTCTATAGATAAAAGGCAAGTTTTTTCTAGACCAGATTGTTTTCTAAAATAGTGTGGGAAAGACTCTACTATAATTGACAATCTGTAACATACATAGCTATAAAACAAACAGATAAGTTAATGCTTTAGAGTATTTATCTGTAATATTTTAAAAGCACCTTAAAAGAAAATTAAAATTAACTTAAAAATGACAAGGAAAAAACATATCATGTGTAACATAATTATCAACAGACTTCATTTTCATTATTTTTGGAAAACTTCAGTTGTTTTTCCTGTGTTTAAAGAATTCTGAGAAGATAGCCATGAATGTAGCCTTTTTACCCAACCATGTCTGTTGATCCTAGTATGCAGAGCCATCAGCATAGCATTAAGTAGCAAAAATCCTGCACGTTACTAGCTTTACAAGATGGCATTCAATGAAAATATTTGCACGACCTAATGCTGATTGCATTAATTAGACTCCTTCATTGCTTTGATTAAATCCCCTCATTGCATTTTACCTTCTATCAAATATGTTAATGTGCACCTTTCCAATGTTCATTAACACATTTTGCGAAAACAGCCAAACATTCAAGTAGTTGAAAACAAAGACTCTTGGCTTTCTTATTTTGCTTTGTTCATAATATCTGCTGAAAGTGTGGGAAGATTTCTCTATGATGCTGTTCAATGGTTTGATATTGATTTTCTTAATGCTGTCACTTCTTTAATGACTATTGTGACTAGTTTTAGCAGTCTGCTCTGAGAGCCAGACATCAATTACTGTTCCATCTACTTTGCCTTTCTGAAATAGATATAATCGTGGTAAAACTGTTGGCATCCCTTGTGATAAATAACAAGTTTTGTTTGACTCTTAGGAATCGTTTTTCCCTATAAAATGCTCTTGATGGTTTTGACATAAAACTAAACGATTCATTTAAAAGCCTGGATTGCAAATTCAATGGAGACACTCCTGTCTCAGAGGAGAGAAATGCTTAGTGAAACCATGTATATATACTGAAGGGACATTATCAGAATATAACTTGGACGATCTACAGCAGTTCATTGGAAACTTGGGAGATGAAAACTTGTTTAGAGAAGCTTTCAGTAGGAGAAATTAACATGGAAAATAGGATTACAGTCCCAGACCTACTAAATTCAGTAAGCCAGTTTCTCAATAACATTATCAAGAGTATTTGCTGTTTTCTGATTAAGACAGAGAGCAGGATAAAATTCCTCCCTGTGTGAAAAGCCAGCACAACTCCAGTGTGCAGCACACTCTTCTAAAACTAAAACTTTTAATTCAGAAATAAAACAGGATTTTGTGCTGGTTCACATGGATGAATTCCACAGACTCTTCATGAGTTTTAGTCCCAAAGATCTAGAGAAACGAAATGCATATATATCAGTCATTCTGCTCTATAATGCACATACGGGACAGCATCCCAATAGATTTCTTTTTTCCTACAAAAGAAATGTTTTTCTTCCATATTAGAATGATATATATTATACCAAAATGAAAACAGGGAAAAAAAGGCCAGAGTCAAATAATATAGTTGGAAATTTTCTTCATTGATTCATCTTTCATGTAAGTCCTAACTTGCAGAGAAAGAGAAAAAGATGATCCTGAGTAACTTCACTGAATAAAGCAGTAAACTCTGTATCTATTTTTGGAAGCATTCACACATGCAGTATTCAGCAGAAAATTCACTGTACAGCATGACTGCTGTCGAGTATCACAGATGAGTAATCTGCATCAGCCTGGGCAGCATCCCAAAGAATTCAGATGTTCAGTGTTGCTAATGACCAGGATTTTTTAGCTATCAGCTGTAGGAGAAGCTAAGAGAGTTTGTACATTGACAACCTAATTGTTAATTACAGAAATGACTAACTGTGAGGACGTTATTATTGTCATTATGCCCTATAATCAATGACTGACACTATGGAGCAGGTTCTCTGTTGGGGTGAATGCATCAAACTCCGGTTGTGTTTTAAATACTTATGTTAGCAGAAAAAATTGCCATTCCTTTATTTTAAAAGCTTGGCTGTGGCTGGCTGTATGATACTATCTTCCAACTAGAAAAAAACTTAAACTGTAATTACAAATAAGCTTCTTAGATCCTGATTAGTTCGCATGTATAGTTTTAAATATATAAAAGGCTCCCACTGGAGTAATTGGGGACACCTTGAATGCTTAGGTGCATAGGTAACCAAGGACTTTTCTGTTGCATGGCCTTGAAATAGGTCATTAAACCACTACTTTTCAGTTAGCATTCCTATTTAGTCTTTTTGGTAAGCCCCTTCAATTCATGGAAGACCAGCTAAGTCGGCTGTTTGTCTCAGACACCTGACTCAACTTCTGGGAAATCAGTGCTGTTGGAGGGGAAGATGGGAGGAAAGCTAAGATCTGAGATAAGTGTCAGTTCAGAAACAGAAAGTAGCACCGAAGAGGGAGGAGGGTTCCCCTGCACTGCCCCTGCCATAGCAGTGCCTGAGAACAAAGGAATCCAGAGCTTTGCTGAACCTTTGGGCAGTGGATCTGGATTTGGATTTGCTGAAAGATGATTTCTATCTACATTCTTATAACATAAACTAAGTATATCTCTGGATTGAGTCCCTAAATCTTCAGATAAAGCTACTGAAACTAATCAGATTAATATTCTTTCAGTATGTTTGTATTACTCTGACCTTATGGCTTGAGAACAGAGGAAAGCTGTTTATCTGAGTTGCCTTAAGCTACTGCTAGCATTGGTGTTGCAACTGAGATGGAATCTTTAGGTCCACGCTCCCTGTTCAGAGTGGTGGTGCTGTCAGAAAGAATTTGTAGAGCAGGTGTACTCCTGGTTGTGTAGGAGTGCATTACTACAGTCCACCCACTTCTACCCTCAGGAACTTGCAAAATACACACTGTAGTCTGCCTCAGCCCCGTGTTGTTCTACCATTCTCAAGAGAATTTTTCTTCAAAAGACAGTTACAATGTTAGCACAGGAAAAGTAAATTCAAAATTCTGCACATGATTAGGTCTGAATGTGTAAACACACATCCCTCTCAACTGCTCGTACTGCAAGCATAGGAGGGAAAAATAATGCTGTTTTTATGATGTGTATCTTATATTTCCATTTTTATTTCTCATTAAAATATATATATACATATATATGTAAAACCTATCAGACATAAACAACGGTTTCAGTTCTGTTTTGTTTCTAACAAGGCTTGCAGAGGGAAAGCATCGGTGTGATGGCTCTGATATTTATGAAGGGACATACTGAAAAATGTAATTTAATCCAATTGGCATTATTCATGATTTTGGTACAATATATATCATCATATGCAAGCTCTTCTATGAACAAAGATTTTTTAGACTGCTTTTTATTATCTAAATCACCAACCACGGAGGTTCATTTTATCATATACTTCTGTATAATTTACTGATTTGACTTATTTATGATTTCTGTATCATGGGGGAAAAAATCCCTGTGCTTTTCATGGGCTTCATTATATATCTTATTACAAAGAAAAATTAAAGGCAGTTGTGCAACTAGTTGTAGAAGTTTTATTCTATCAGCAGTTGCTGATGACAGCTCCTGCCCTCTTTTCTGCAGAATCGCAATCAAGTGCTTTCCTGGATTTATGACTAAGATGTCCCATATAAAGTTTAAGACACATATAAAGACACATATAAATTTAAAGACACATTATAAACATAAGACACTCAGTTTCTAAGACTGCGAAATAAGGAATAGTGTACTTATGGATAGCGCATCCTTACAAGATGTGATGACATTTTATAAGCTCAGAACTGCAAGTAGCTATTTGAAACAAGACCATCATAAAAAGTACAATATGGGCTTTTGTAAGTATCTTTAATAAACAGGCTATTCTTGAGGTCTGTCTTGCTTTGATTAGTAGACATTCCTGTTTTGATTCACATCTATGCAAAACAACAAAATGAAAATGAAAAGAAAAAAGGAGAAAAAGTCATGCTCATAGCAAGATTGTAAAGCATCATTCGTTGGGTTAAAAAACTGCATTAGTTTGGATGTCAGAAGTGTTCTATCAGGGCAGCAGCACACCTCCCTACCACCCTACTGGGCAAAGGGTGGGAAACCTGAAGCTTGGAAGGGTTTGTTCACAGAGTCTGTATATAGGACAAGTTGCAGCTCCAATGAGAGTGAGAATATTTATCTATATTTCAAGAATAATAAGTTCTTTAGACTGTGCAGTTCAGTTACTTAACTAAACCCAGGTGAGCTCATACATTTTCCAAGTCAAAAGCAGAGTGCTGCCATTTTAGTGTACTGCGGTTACCATAAAGCAAATCCTGAATGTGAGTGGTTTGTACTGTCAACAGAATTATTTGATTAAATATTCCTTCAGATAATATAATCAATATTAATAAAGATTTTCTTTTTAGAGAAAGAGTAGATGTGTTTCTAAGAGAGTGTTCACAAGCAAATTAAAAATAGTAATTTCAGGTAAATATGCTATGAAAGCAATGAAAACTGGGGGAGATGACTTTGGAAATTTGGGATAAGGAGAATAAGCGTCTGCTTCTTTCCATTCCCTCCAGAGAGTTTAGCCCCTAAATGCTCTTTACACACTCCCTGTTAATAACCAGTTCTTGACAGTGTTAGTGTTCATTCTATATAAACCTCTAAATAATTGCTGCCTTTCCCAGTTGTGACTAGGAGACCACTGAGCAGAAGAATACATTTAGGCCACTTTTAATGGGATGTAGAGAGAGAGGAGTAAATGAAGAAACACAGAGAAAAAGCATACAGTAGATAGAAAAAGCAAACAAATAGTAAATAAGAAGTGCTGATTTAATTTCTTCTATACAATTTTGGCTTCACTGGAATTAGCAGCTATTCATGAGTACATTAGACATAATTGATTTGCATATTGGAACCAATTTATTTAAATTGCTAGTTTCACAGAATATTTGTTGAAATTGTATATATCTAACTGCAATGCTTTTTGACTTTCTAAGCACCTCTGAGTTAATTCATAGAATTTGAAAGAGGGTTATATTTGATATTGGAGGTTGCAGTTAATGTTTTTCTCATCACTAAAGGAATTTTGATTTGGAAAATGTACCTGTTGGTTCAGTACAGCATTTTGACAACTTTATTTTCAAATGACAGCTCTAATGTTCAAAGGGTAACACAAATGTTTGCTGTAATCCTGGTACTGTAGTAAATCTAAAAGCATAAAGAAAGCTAAAGCAGGCTTCCAGTTTTGATGGCTTAGTAACCTTTTTACATGGCATTTCTGTAGGACTACAGAGTGAACATTTTTTTGAGACAGCAGTGGAATGACTCACGTCTGGCTTACAGCGAATATCCTGATGATTCCCTGGATTTGGATCCCTCTATGTTGGACTCGATTTGGAAGCCAGATTTATTCTTTGCCAATGAGAAGGGAGCAAATTTCCATGATGTCACAACAGACAACAAGTTGCTGAGGATTTCTAAAACTGGAAAAGTGTTGTACAGTATCAGGTAAACCAATTAAATTTACTTTTTTTCTCTTCATCCCCTTCTTTCTCCTCCATGTTTTTCTGGATTAAATGTACATATTTAATTTTTTGTATTCCCATGTGTACAACTTAAATGAGACTTAATCATATTAGGGTGGAAGGAAAATTTGCCCGTGTTCCTTTGCTAAGCTTTTACTTTTCGCAAAATAATCTCTAAGTGGCACAGCGGTACTTCTTAGTCTTGTTGAAAACTTGAGGCTGTCTAGAACTTTAATGGTATGCCTCAATAATTCCCATTAGTGTTAGCTCAAGTCACTACTCTTACAAAGAGAGGAAATCAACTCTGTAGTCTGTAGGTTGCAATTTAAAAGTAAAGGGAAATAGTATTTTAAATGACTGCTCAACACTTTAAGTAAAAACATGCTTGAATGCAATAGATTTGATGCGCAAGTCACTGGCTAATTGTTTGTATCTATTCACATTTAAAAATAACTGAAATTATGAAAAGTGGTGTGTTTTTTTTTAAACTAAGTGCATTGAAGTGTGTGTCATGTGACTAGATTAAGGCTGAATTAATAAACACTGACAAAATATGATTTGATATGACCTGATGAAATGGGAAATATTCAGAGAAACAGAGTTGTATTCCACAGGCATAAAGAGCAGCAAACAGTCTGCAGTATTTATTTGACATTCAGCTTACGGTGAGAGGCTAATTGCTGAATCATGGCTAGGCTTCGCGAACGAAGATTTGGGAAGGCTCTATCCACATTTGTTACAGGCACGCTGGTGACTTATGAGGCCAATACGAGACAGACATATCCGATTGCAAAAGGCACAGCAGAAAGACTCCTTAGATGGTGTATTCTGCAAGACACGGTTCTTTCTGCGTTGCCTTTTCTCCTCGAGAGTGATCCTGAGTGTGTTCTCAAAGGAGACAGCTGCGTTATAGATGGTGTGTCTCCAGGCCTCCCAATTGGAGACCAGAGTAGACCAGTTATGGTGATCACTATGACCAAGGCTGAGATGTTGTTTCAGGGAGTCCTTGTATCTCCTCTTTGGGGCTCCTCTCATGCGGCAGCCAGTGGCAAGTTCACCATAAAGCAGGATCTTAGGGAGGCGGTGGTCCTTCATCCTGGAGACGTGCCCTGCCCATCGCAGCTGTGTTCTCATCAACATGGCCTCTATACTTGTGACTGCTGCTTGTTCTAGAACAGATGTATTGGTCACAAAATCTGACCAGTGGATGTTTAGGATCGTACGGAGGCAGCGTTGATGGAAGGGTTCTAGAAGACACAGCTGGTGGCAGTAGATGACCCATGATTCGGAACCATACAAGAGAGTAGACAGCACTATGGCTCTGTAAACACTGATCTTAGTACTTTTCTTCAAGTGTTTATTACGCCAAACTCTTTTGTGCAGTTTTCCAAAAGCTCTATATGCCTTTGCTAACCTGTTGTCTATCTCTCCGTCGATCTTACCATCCGAGGCGATGAGGCTGCCTAGGTAATTAAACTGCTGGACTGATTTGAGCTCTGATTGGCCAATGGTGACGTGGGGATGATGAGGGACTTCCTGAGGTGCAGGTTGACGGAGGACCTCTGTCTTCTTTAAGCTGACTTCCAGCCCAAAGAGCTCAGCAGCGTCTGCAAAGCAGGATGTTAAACACTGCAGAGCTGCTTCTGTGTGGGCAACAAGGGCGGCGTCATCAGTGTAAAGCAGCTCCCGGACAAGATGGTTTAAGGTCTTGGTGTGGGCCTTCAGTCGCCTTAGATTGAATAGGCTTCCATCAGTATGGTATCGAATGTAGATACCGTCCTGATCATCGAGGTCTGCTGTGGCCCTTTGGAGCATCATGCTGAAAAAGACTGTGAATAGGGTAGGAGCGAGAACGCAGCCTTGTTCCACACCATTCTTAATTAAAAAGGGCTCAGAAAGTGTGTTACCGTATCTAACTTGGCTGTGCTGATCCTCATGGAGTGAGATGATCATTTTAAGGAACTTGGGGGGACAACCTAAACGTTCCAAAATCTGCCACAGACCTTTTCTGCTCACAGTATCAAAAGCCTTGGTGAGGTTAACAAAGGTTACATAAAGACCTTTGTTCTGTTCCCTACACTTCTCTTGCAGTTGTCTGAGATAATTGCTGAATATAGGTAGCCAAAGATGCAAAACACTCTATTATTGCTCTTATGATTGTTCAAAATGAATTAATTACTGCTTCTTATTTGTTCTTTGTTCCTAGGAATGCTTCTTGGCTTTTGCCTGTCTAGCACTGCAGAAAGTAAACATGACTGTATTTGTTTAACAGGTTGTTTAGTGAATTTACTCATCTGTAAAGCAGATTAGATTTGAAGGCAGTTGTTTCTGATGGGGCATTCTGTTTGTGACCACATTTTCATTAGAGGAATTATTATTGATCCAGGCTCAGGATAGCTGTGTTCTTTGGGATGTTAAATAAATAAGTATTAGCATGGTACTTCCTCCATTTACATAATTCTTGTGGAAATTTCTTGATAAGATCCCAGTAATATTTGGATGAATTGAGTGAGGTGGAAAGCAAATGGTTACTGAGCAAGGCTTTAAACTGCTGTACCTGAACAGTTTGAGAAAAATAATAGGATACAAGAATGGAACTAGCACTAGCAGAGTGATACATATGCTGTCACTTACAAATATTTTCTGTTTCACCCTGAGAAAGAAATGAATGTATATGTTTGTTTGAATGACATCAGACACCATCTTATTGGAGGAAAGAGTGGAGTTGGGTGCTGTTGTGAATGCAGATGGATAATTTTCCTGACATTTGCCCATGCGGCAAAAGTAATATTTTGAGCTGCTATATCACATTTGTAAAGTTCCCACACCTAAATGCAAATTAATTGGAAGCAGAGTAAGCAATATTGCAACAGAGCGCTAAGCAAAGCTCATTGCTTCTCATTTGTGTGTAACAGAGTAACAGTCTTACCTGGCACCTGTAACATGGCATATAATTTTTTAGCCCTTTAAAGAAAACTTCCAGAGTATGGAAACTTGAAATCAGAAGGAATTAGAAAAACTTGTCTTTGTTCTCTAGATACTGAGCTAGATACATCTGTGTTATGTCAGTTGCTTGTAGTTATGCTATGTGTAAACAAGAATAATTTAGTGATTGGTTTCAGCATATTGGGAATGTTCTACAGCTGCCATTTTCACTACTGTACCAATAGCACTTTGCCTGCCATCATGATATTTAACATTTAGCATTTAGTGTGCTTTAAGTGTTTAAAGCACTTCACAAACACGTCTGAGATGTTACAGTGTCGGCTGTTTTGTCATATTTCCAAATTTAATAAAATCAAGGTCAGGTTAATCTCTCATAAATACAAACCATTCTGTGCATAAAATGAGATAGAACTGCTCCTGGTAAATAATGGGTAAGAAGCAAAATGCATGTGTTATATGGGAATGATATCCCTCTTCCCTGTATACTGCACTGAGAACATGGAAATACACCATGCAAGACACTCTAGTTTGTGCTGTTGAATGCTCTGAGGCCAAACTTGCCCTTTGTGAACACAGTTTGGAAGGTCACCTGGAACTACAGCTCAGGGTCCATATTTTACTAAAACAAGACATTTGATGTAGGGTATGGGTGCTCGGATAAGTCATGAAAAGGTGAGTGAGGGTCTGCCCTGTGTGTTACCTCTACTGCAGTGCTTGGCTATGGGAATTATCTCACCCTGTGGTAAGCATGAGGGTCTTCATCCTTCTTTCAGTGAAGGATAAGCCATCCTGCATTTATTGGTGATGGTAGGCATGATGTAGATTTCCATCATAGTTTACCTTATAATAATTAGCTACATTGCTCATGCTTGCAGATTCCTGCATCTACATTTAATTCTCTGGGAGTTGTTACAGGAAACAAAAGGGTTGTTGATGGTTGATGTACCCACCTATGAATCATAAGTTTAGGAATCAAATGCCATTTTTAGATGTTTGCTGCATGCTCAAATGACTATCTTGATATTTGTTTTGATCTGAGATAGCATGCTATATAAAGCTTCAGTCTCTATATCTGGATAACTGGTCTAAACCTTTGGGTGCTGCAGGAAGAACTAGAACCTTGTGGAGGGAAGAACCCAGCGCTACTTAATACTACAAATATATACTATTGCCACTAGAGATGTAGCAACAGCTCTTAGAGGCACATGTATTTTGAGAAGTCAGCAGTTACAGGAAAATTGTAATCAGCAACCAACTCCACTTTAGTCAAGATCAGTCTCAGTTGCACTCTCCAAACTGTTAAGTAGCTATAACTTCTATTTTAAAGCACTCTGCAGAGAGCAGTCAACACCAAGGGTTTGTATAGCAACATTCAATAAAATTAGTTTGTGTTTATTTTGTATGCAGAAAAAAACAATGAGAGTTAAAATCGTAATCTACATAATGTCACCCTCTAGATACTTGTGACTCATCCACTCCCAACCCTTGACTGATCTCTGCATGGATTTTGACGGGGCTTATGCACTTGGAAAGCGTGGTAGCACTGTGTGATGATACTAAGAATCCTGTTCTAGGCACTCACATTCTGTATGACACCTGTATTTTGCATCGCATACACCACTGCACTGGTTTTATGTTCCAGGGACAATGATCATATCTGCTCTGGCCCATTGAGATCACCTGGGACATCAGGAAAATGCTAAATAAACTCACAGGAGGCTTCACATTCTCTCCAAGCCACCCATTTGTGGTACCTGATTCCCACAAATTCATTTCAGGCTGTCAGCCAGCTCGGAATGTTAGCATCTGCCTGAAAGCTTATTTTAGCAAAGTGATAGAAAGTGGTTTTATTTAAGGTTTGTGTACTTTTTTTCTGCATTAATTACCTCCTTCTCTTTTTAATATTTTTGGTGCATCTCAGCCATATGAGATTGATTCAGAAGGTGATATAAATCAACTGTAATGTTGATCCATGGCACTGAACCTAGAATATATTGGTCAGGAAGGTAAAGGCATTGTAACGATTTTTTTTTTTTT